AAAAAAAAAAAAAAAAAAAATTAAAGTAGTTTTTTTAATACTTTTGGACCGATGAAGTCTAATACTATGCCATTTTGAAATTTGAGTCTATGTAACAAAATGTAGCAGGAGGAGGTGGCTTATATGTTTCAAACGTCACGTACATTTTTTATTTATGAGCAAATTTTCTTAATGATGCGGTGAATAGAATGAAAAAATAGAACTATGTAATTAAATTATTAAAATTCGGAAAATACATTTGTAAGGATTTAAAATTTTTAATTAAAATAATTTTTTAACGAAATTTTTCTGGCAATTTCAAGAATTGTTTACAGTAACTCTTCGACCTAAACTTCTTTTCCTTAAATTTTGAAACCTTAAAATATTTTAAATTTTCTTATCTGTGTTTTTAAAATAAAAAACAAAAGGATATTTTATTTTTTGATCATTAAAAAAGGAGACAAAGGAGAGGGAAGGCGTAACAAGAAATGCTACACGCATTTTGGTTAAAATAAAAACTTAATTATTTAAAAAATATTCTTTCAAATTTATGTAATCTTAAGTTTATTTTAAAATGACAAAAATGCTGTTTTCTTTTCATGATTTTGTTCTGTATTCTTTGATATTATTATGTATCAACAAACATTAATGCTTATGATAAAGCTTTAAATTAAGTGCTAGTTAAACTCAATCTATAAATTTGGGTTTTGTGAAATAAAGTAAAGATATGATTTAAAGTTGATTTATAGTTAAAAACAAAACATTTTAAGTAAAAAAGAAAAGCCATGAAAATAAATAAGAAAAAACAAAAACTAAAATAAATAAAACAAAATAAAATAAACGAGTGAAAAAAAGTTAGGAATTATCAAATTTTACTAAAGTTTAGTTTTTGATCGAATTTAAAGGTTTTTAGTCAGAAATTAATTTTATTCTTATTAGTTTGTAATACTTCGAAATTATATCAAACGGAAATAAATTTTAAAAATAAAAATTTCTGAACGAAAATAAATAAAGATAGCTATGAAAGAAAAACCATTAAGTATAATTTAACTAAATTAACTTTATTTAGAATCTAAGAGATTCTTGGTTTTGAATTAAGCTTATTTTAATTAGTTAATAGCTTTTAGTACATTTTATTAGTTACTTTTATTATTCAGAATTATCTCAAATTTAAATAAAATTTAAAGACAAGACTTTCTGAAAACGAGAGAAAAATATATAGAAATGAAAAAATAATGTCAAATGCAATCAAATCAAAACAAATTGTATTCTGCATAATATTATATTTTCATTTATATTAATTTAAAATAATTTATTATTTGAAAACTAAACAAATTTTAAAAACAGAAGAACTGAAAAAATAAAGGCTTAAAAAACGATTCAGAATTGTAAAAAATGAAATAAATTTTAAAAACAAAAAATTCTGAAAATAAAAACAAACCTGAACAATAAAAATTATAAAAAAATAGCCATGGAAAAAAAGTAAAGTAATATCAAATTAAAGCCAATTCTGCTCTATTGCAATATTCTATTCTACTAAAATTTATTTTGTTGTGTAAAACTTGTGAATTTGTTTCATTCATATTTGTGTAAAAAGACTTAAGATTATCCCAAAACGAAAAAAATTTTAAAGACAGGATTTAAACTCAGAAAAAAATGGCAGCTTAAATACGATTTAGAATTGTCTCAAAATAAAAAAAAATTTAAAGGTGATTAGTAAAATTGTAAAAATTAAGAACAATTATGAAGGATGAAAAACAGCCATGAAAAAAAAAGTGAAGTACAATCATATTGAAACCAATTCTACACTTGATAAAATCAAATTTATTTTGTTCATGAATTTATTTTATTCATATCAGTTTAAAATTTCAAAGAATCATTTCAAAACGAAACAAAAAGATAAAAATGCAAAAAAAAAAAAAAAAAAAAAAAAAAAAAAAAAAAAAAAGAAGCCAAGTAGTATTATATAAAAATCAATACCACTCCTATTAAAATGAAGTTCTTAAATTTATCTAATTTAGAATCGTTTCAAAAATTTTTTTTTTAAAAATGCGATTATTGAAATTCTGAAAATAAAGAACAATTATGAATGGTGAAAAACAGCTATGAAAAACAAAAAAATTTCTGAAAATTAAGGACAATTATGAAGAAGAAAAAAAGCCAAGTAGTATCATAGTAAAATCAATACCACTCCTAATAAAATGAAGTTCTTAAATTTATCTAAGTTTAAAAAAAATTAGAATGATCCGGATACGAAACAAATTAAAAGAGAGAAAAAAAAAATTCCTCCGAAAAAATGACAGATTAAACACGATTTAGAATTGTTTTAAAGAAAATTTTTTTTTAAAAGGCTATTATTGAAATTCTGAAAATGAGGAACAATTATGACAGCGAAAAACAGCAATGAAAGAAAAAAAAGGTACATTTATATTAAAACCATTTCTACTCTTGATAAAATTAAATTTATTTCATTCATTTCAGTTTAAAATGATTTTAAAGAATCATTTCAAAACAAAACAAAAAGATTAAAATTTCTTAAAATAAAGGACAATTATGAAGGGGAAAAAAAAAGTCAAGTAGTATCATATTAAAATCAGTACCACTCCTAATAAAATTAAGTTGTTAAATTTATCTAAGCTGAAAAAAAATTTAGAATTATCTGGATACGAAACAAATTAAAAGACGGAAAAAAAAGAGAATAAAATCCTGGTCACGTGGGAGAGAGAGAGGGAAAAAAGAATAAACACGAAAAACGTGCCTCGCTCCGAATAACTAAGCAGCTGGACACTTACCGTCGGCGTAGTTCGTTACTGCCGCTACTTCCGCCCAAGCTTTTTCCATCACTTCGAAGTCTTTGTAAGCGGGATCCCCCATATCCCATAAACAAGGATGATACTTAACTTGTTCTATAAATCGATCCATCATTTAAAAACTTTTCTTTAAAACTTTCAAATCAATTTACTTCAGAATGTTCGAAAAGAATATTGGGTAGATAGCGCATGTGCAGGGCAGGCGAAGGGTATTGATCTGAAACTGGTAGAGGCGTAACCCAGCTCCGAGTCGCTTCGCATCGCCTGTCTAGACACAGCGCCGCCCTGGAGGTCAAGTTGGGAAACAGCAGAAGAAACACACGACAAGGGAACTCGCTAAACAGATTCCCCCAAAACTGCTCTAAATCGATGTTATTATATAATAACTTTATTTTAATAACATATTGCATACATTATATAATAACGTTATTTTTTATACAATAACATTATTTTTTATATAATAACATTATATTATTTTATTTATTTATGTGATTTTATTTGAAAGATGAAATTTGTTGTAAAAACATTATAAAACTAGATGTTTTATCATCTGACAGTGATACAATGATGTTTATGGAATAAAAATAGTCTTTAGATTAAATGTCTATTATCTATGTTGAAAACTATTGTATGATTATTATTAACTTTATTAGGATAACTTTATATAACATTCGCGCAAAATGATACTTATGGAATAAAAATTAATTGTTTTGATGACTAAAATAATGTTAAAAACTTTTCGCTATTACTCTAGCTTTTGTAAAGTTAGGAAAAAAGAAGCTTTTTTTTAAAAGTTTTTAAAAACATTTCGGTTTCATAAAAACTGTTTGGAAAAACTTTTAATTAATGTAAATTGAAGCGATAAAAGGATAAAAAGCTTTATTATCTTAAAAAACAAAAACAAAAATGCAAATTTTATTTTTTTTAATAATATTAAAATATCTATGGGTTAAAGTCAAAGTTTAAAATTTTGATGACAAAGATAAACGTTGATACACTAGTGATAATTTTTGTGAGTACAAAATTATATATATTTAGGTATTACAATTTGAAATCAAATAAATATGCACCACTTAATTGAAACATCATATTGTTGCTTAATATGAAAAAAATGTATAATTTTCAAAAAAAAAAAAAAAAAAAAAAAAAAAAAAANAAAAAAAAAAAAAAAAGGTTATCACTTATGCTCGGATTTTGATGACATTTGCGTTCATTGTAATTTTGGAATCTCTTTGCACTTATAGTTTTTTTTTTTTATAATTTACTTATAAGCATATGTTTTTTTTAAAGGTAATATTTTTCCATCTTTAAAGGCATTTTTAGGGGATCACAATCCAGACTCTAATTATCACTAATAATTGACACGCACAGACGAACTGTTCCTAAAGAGCAATGGTTTCTTTATTTAAAGTGTGAAAAACAAAATTGAAGGCATTCTTTAAATGCTACCAAATTTAAATTAAAGTTAAACTCAGAAATTGCAAAGTTTTTAGATTCTCTTACATAATTCGAAAAAAAAATATGGTGAAATGCTGAAAAATGGCTACGCTTAACTTTTAACCACTCTTATGCCTCTGTGGACTGTAAACCATATTTTCCAGATTGCGGCAAGAATTCAAATCCGCCGAAATAGAGAAATGCTTATCCTGAAAATGTATTCATTTTATAATATCGTCGTTACAATAAAATTAACATGTTTCAGTTTAGTCTCTCGAACCACTAGGATAGCATCTTAGTATTAGATAGCCTCTAAGTGATAGCAGCTTAATCATTTTTTAACACTTTCATCTTAGACAATTCGATCATTAGTTGAAAAGATTTTAAAAAATACTTTTATTTTTTTTATTTTTTTCTGCTCTGTACACTATATCTACATTGAAGAACATTTGCTTTGCTCGAAAAAGCTCGAAATCTTCCTATGACATTTATAATAGCACTTTTCCGAAACTAAGGAATCTTTTTTTTATGTTTATAATTTAATGATAAAGTATAAGTTTCATTTTGCAATTTAATTAAAATGTATGATTTTTGTCATTTAATTATAATTTAGAATTTTTCTTATTTTAAAAATAATTATAATAACCTATAATGAGCTGTTATACGAAGATAAAATGAAAAATTTCTCTTTTATTTTAAAAAAAAAAAAAGTATCTTGGAGATACTCTTAGTGAAATAAAAATAAGGAAAAAGAGTGCTTGCGTTGGCCGGGAGTCGAACCCGGGTCAACTGCTTGGAAGGCAGCTATGCTAACCGTTATACCACCAACGCTTCAACGATATCGTAGAAATCAATCAGCTGCTGAGTTNGCTATCTTTGCAAACTGTAAACAGTGTTGAATATTTGCAGTGTCATTCATAAAACTTTTATAGTGTTGGATAATTAGTTATTGTTTCCATAAAAACCATTCGTTTAGTTTAGATATCAATTTTAATTATCAATGCATGTAAAAAAAGAAGGTAAGCAGTAATAATATGGATTAGTACAACCAGCGACAAAAGTATAGCACACTTTGTATTCTTTTACAAAAATTAAAATTGACCAATTTTGAACCGAATATAGCGAACCTTGCAAAAAACACCAGGCATACCCATCTCATTGATTAAGAAGCAATAAATCTGTAGTTACTTTACTTATTATTTCTACTTATTCATAATTACTTATTATTTAAGAAATATTAAGGTATTTAAATTTCAACATTAATATATTTTTCATAAAACTATTGTTACACAATGTACTATTACTTTAATAAATATTTAAAATCATAAAAAAAAAACAGTATCCAATAAAGTTTTATTTTAATTAACAGAAAATTACTTTTATGGGGGTCGATGGAGATTTCGAAAAATTATGTAGGGGTCGATGATCAAAAAAGTTTGGCGACCCCTGCTCTAAGTGATAGCAGCTTAAGCATTTTTTAAGATTTCATCTTAGACAATTCGATCATTAGTTCAAAACATATAAAAAATATTTTATTTTTTAAATTTTTTTCTGCTTTGTACACTTTTTTTTAAATCTACATTGAAGAACATTTGCTTTGCTCGAAAAAGTTCGAAATCTTCCTATGACATTTATAATAGCACTTTTCCGAAACTAAAGAATCTTTTTTTATGTTTATAATTTAATGATAAAGTATAAGTTTCATTTTGCAATTTAATTAAAATGTATGCTTTTTGTCATTTAATTATAATTTAGAATTTTTCTTTTTTTAAAAATTATTATAATAACCTATAATAAGCTGTTATACGAAGATAAAATGAAAAATTTCTCTTTTATTTAAAAAAAAAAGTATCTTGGAGATATTCTAAGTGAAATAAAAATAAGGAAAAAGAGTGCTTGCGTTGGCCGGGAGTCGAACCCGGGTCAACTGCTTGGAAGGCAGCTATGCTAACCGTTATACCACCAACGCTTCAACGATATCGTAGAAATCAATCAGCTGCTGAGTTGAAATGAGATCGATACATTTTATGAAGAGATAAATCTTCCCACTTCTGTTCAGTCGGAATTACTTTTTCTTTAAAATTCTTAATTGAGATAATTACATTGCGTAATTATTCATGATAAATTTAATTGTTTTATTCCATAACATATAAATTAATCAGTCTCATTTCAGGAACAAATCTTTTTATTCATATCTCGAGTCAAATTGCAGGATTCGCAATTGTTCCGACATACGCACCCTGTTAAAACATATTTTATTTTTATTTGACCTGACTTTTAGCTTCTTTTTTTGGTTTTGGTAATTTTGATTTTTGCGTGTGTCCAGTACATCCTGTTTTCAACGAATATTAATGCAAACTTTAAAATAATTAGTTTGAAGAAGTTAACAATTTGATTTTTCGAACCAACATTTTTTTAAATTATTTATTTAATAATGCTAGTGAAAATCGCGAAGTTCGAACTTAAGGACTATTCTCTAATAACATCAGACGTATACCCTTAATTACTTGTATTCATTGTTCGTATCAAACCTTCTCGTCATTTTTATGAAAAGGAAGCTCATCTTATTTCATATTTTTCTGATGGTGAGTACAGGAAACATACCCTTGATATGAATAAGGGTATTTTCAACAAACACAATAACAAATCTTGTATAGTGGAGTTTTGTAGTTTGACAATTATTGATTCGTCTCTTAAATTCTATTTTAAAAATGATCAATCACAATCAAGTGATTGATCATTTTTAAAGTAATATGCAGTAATATATTATTTAAGTGTTGAATTGTGGAATCTTCCACTAAATTAATTTTGTACAAAAATGTTACTCGGCGAAGTCACTTCGTTTCGAGATTACAGAAATCCTACTTTAAAATTATTTGATGATAGAATTCTTGAATTCGATTACAAATCTTTTTATAAAATATTGGTATGAAGGAACATTAACTAAATTTGAACTGGTTTTTTTTATGAATGCAACAGTGCTATAAAAATTATCTATATATTGATCGCGAACTAAAATAAGTTGTTTAGCTGTTCAATTAATGAAACTCTACAGAATACTGTTCGAATATTTTGTCTGAACAAAATATCTCTGAAATTAAAATAGTATATTTTATCTATTTTTTGCGATAATTTTTTTTTTAGATACTTTAGTCTAGCAAATTATACCTTTTTTAATTTGGGAATACATTCTTTAGTCCGAAAATAATAACATTTTAATACTATATGCGCTGATTTTTATTTTTTTGTTGTAAAATTTTGTCTTGCTTTTTTTTTATTTGGCCACTACGAGGACTGCACATTGGAACAACTATTTTTATCCGCGATTTAAAATAATGTAGAAAAATTGCTGATTGTAATGTTTTTGTTGATAAAAAATGATTAATTAGACTCTTATCTAATGACTCTTCTTCAGACAAAAGTAAGGAAAAAGGGTGCTTGCGTTGGCCGGGAGTCGAACCCGGGTCAACTGCTTGGAAGGCAGCTATGCTAACCGTTATACCACCAACGCTTAGTTTGGAGGCGAAACAAATCTGACAGTAACTTCAAAAATAAGGTCATTAAGATTCGTGAGATATGGAGATTATTTTGAATGGAAATAATCGCATTTAAATTCCATGATTTTTATTTTTACTTCCTAGTTGGAAACGAATACTTTTCTAGAGGACTAGATTTTTATCAGTTGTATATAAGTGAAAAAAATTTCATACTTATAAGAAATACTTTTAATAAATAAATTATTTAAATTGAAGGAGACAGAAATAGAAAAATCCGAATAAGTGTTTCGTCATATTTATTAAATTTTCATAATTAAACTGTTATTTGGATTACTCGATAACGGCTGCTTCTTTCGA